CTCTGGGCACCGATGGGAAGTTTGAATTGGCCCTGGAGGAGGTGCTGTGTGACAGGGGCCTTGGGGAACCGGTGCCAGGTGGAAGGGAGGGGGCGCCCAGAGAAGAAACGGAATGGGTAGCGAGCGAGTCTTCTCCAAGGCCCGCCCTTTAGAGGGGGAGACGGCCTGGGGAGAAAACTAGCCTTTCCCGGAATAGAAGGGGCGCTGATGAGAAGGCAAAGGTAGCGCTTTGAGGGTTAAGGGTAGAGGACACCGAGGTCAGATGTCCTGTGTGACCTTGGGCCCTCAGCTTCTCTCCTCTGTGAAATGGGGGCATGAATCCCATCCTCATCAGGTTTTAAAGAATAGCGGTCCATAAGTGCCCCTTTAAGCTTTTATCGCCATAGCGGATGCCCAGTGTCTTGGAAATAAAAAAAAAAAATCTTCTGTTACAGGTAGTTTGGGGAGGCAGGAGGGAAAAGGTCTAAGGAATGCGACTTGTCTGCCTTAGTGTGGTCTTGGAGTTCTAGAGGAAACTTCAGCCCATGGTGAAAAATGAGAAGATGCTGTTGGGGGTGGGGCCGATAGCGAGAATTCTGGATGGTTGAGATGGGTGCCGCTGTGGGGAAGTGCCTTTGAGATCGCAGTAGTAAATGCTGCTGTTCCCTGTTGACCTGGCAACTCTGAACTGGCAGAGAAATTTCCAGAGAGAGAGTGGGAGGTTCTCTACTGATTATTTTTTTAAAGCTTGTTTCACTTGATGGTTAAATGTTGGTGTTTCACGCTGTCAGCCTTATCTGGGAACATGGAAAAGCCAACATGAGATTGTCATGACTGACTTGGTGAGCAGCGTCCCACTAGGGATGTATAATTATTGTGGCTTGTTAGGCTTGCTAAGTAAAAGGACAGGAATTCTGGCTGAACAAGAATAGATAACTAATTAGTGGAATTAATTGAGAAGAGAGCTCATTAGCGAATAGGATATTAGATTCTCATAAAATGTGTGTGAATTGATGGGTTTAAATCTAGAGGCATCTTCCAGCCAGATCCTTTTTTTTGTCCTTTCATGAAAGTGACAGGTGTTTCTGGTCTGTGTCTATGTATCCCATGTATTTCCATGGTGATCACCCTTTTGATAAGAAAGGGTAGAAACCAGACTCTCCAACAAAAATTAAACTTACTGACTTCAGACTCCTCAATGGTACATTTTAGGTCGATGGATCCCCAGTGCCACCACCACACTTAGAATCCCAAATCCTGTGTCACTGCAAGATGGAGCACTTGGGATTTCATTGGTAGCTTCTTAGAAGTAAGCAAGAGAGCAAATTTATTGTGGATTCATAGTGTGTTGGTAGAGAATAGGGACAGCAGGACTGGGCTGTGACTGGGTGTTAGAGTGGCGTTTAATAGTGTGCAAGGTCCTGGGTTTGATGCCTAGCACTGTAAACAAGAAGAGGGGCTAGAGAGATGGAGTGAAAAGAAGGGAATCTTAGGAATACATAACCACAGTTATATTTAGCTATTTGGCTGTTTTTAGAAAAAGATTTGTATTTTATATGTCTTGCTTGTATGCACGGCTGTGTACCACATGTGTGCAATGCTTATGAAGACCAGAGGAGGGAGTAGGATCCCCTGGATCTGGAGTTACAGATGCTTATGAGCCACCATGCTGGTGCTAGGAACCAAGCCTGGTTCTTTCCAAGAGCAACAAGTATTGCTCTTTGCTGACCCATCTCATCATCACCTTCCATGCCTTCCTGGTTAATGAACTTCATTTTTCAAATGTCCAGCTTTTAACTGTGCGGTGGTAAATCTTTCCCAAAGGTTGAGGCAGTCTAGAGAATGTCAGGGTTTATGTGTCTTCAGATATAAAAATCTTATTTGAGTTGGTTATAAAAATGAGTTTAAGCCGTGTATTGTGGCACATGCCTTTAATCCTAGCACTTAGGAGGCTGAAGTAAGAGGATCTCAGTGAGTCTGAGGCCAGCCTGGTCTACATAGTGAGGCAATAGTAAGTTCTAGGACAGCTGGGGCTACAATAGACCCTGTCTCAAAAAACTTAAAAAACTTAAAGAAAAAAAAAAAAAGAGAGAGCTTAGAGGGTTGGAGAGATGGCTTAGTGGTTAAGAGCACTGGTTGGTCCAGAGGATCTGAGGTCAATTCCCAGCAGATACATGACAGCTCACAACCATCTGTTGTAGTGAGAGATCCAACTAGCCACACCTGTGGCACTGACCATGCCCATTTGAGCGTGGTCACAGGTGTGTATGTGAGCCTGTGGGATTTGGTCTGGGGTTCAGGACAGGCTTGAGCTCTCTTGGTTCCAGTCTCTCCCGCCCTGCACCCTCCTGTCCTTTGGTTCGATTTGTAGTTGTTGTGACAGTGTACTCCAGGGCTAAGAGACCTCACCATTCCCAGAGTGTATCACAACTTAGTGAGACCCTATATCCCAAATGAACTAGAAACTGGATAAGATGACTCAGAAGTTAGAACATTTGCTACCCTTCCAGAGGACCTGATTTTGATTCAGAGCACCTACCTGGGGAGGCTCAAACTACTTGTAACATTCTTTAGGGGCTCTCAAGTCCTCTTCTGACCTTTTTAGGTACCTTTACATGCACAGGCATACATGTGCATGCTCTCTCTCTCTCTCTGTCTCTCTCTCTCTCTCTCACACACACACACACACACACATATACACACACACTGATACACATCTACACGCAAATAAAAAGAATAAATAAATTAAAAAAACCCCAGGACTATAACTCAGCATTAATCTAGCATGTGTGAGGCCCTGGCTTCAATCCTCATTTTAGGGGCTGAGAGTTGACAAAGAGGAAGGGGAGGAGGTATTTGAGATGTGAGCTACCCTTCTTGAAGCCGTTCCTTCTCCACAGCCTGAGGAATGTTTCTTTCTCATCACTTTACCTGCAGTGTTGACATACCCTCTTTTCTGGAGAAAACTTTGATCTTATTTATGACCCTCTGACTAGAGGAATTCAGAGCTCAGTCCTTCCAGCCTGACCAGGTCTTTAAAGGGAGAATGGGCCTGAGCTGCTGATGGATGCCAGTATTGAGTGCTGATCTGAAGACATCTTAATAACTATGGTCCCCTCATCTGCCATCATTACACCAGGAACCCTTTGAGAGCCGTGCTACATGTGGTTAAGGCTAACTGAGCATTCTACTGAAATTTTACTATGTGAAGTTCTGTTTTGCCATTTCAACCAATTTTTCTCTGCTTTCTTTGACGGCTGGAGAAAGGAAGTGGGGAATGGTTTTCCCATTTTGGTCTGCTTAGTCCCGTGGAGAGTTTGATTTGTGGCTAGTGTTTGAAAGACAAGAAAGAACCCGTTGTTCAGATATCCCTCCTGATTTGACCAAATAACTTTGAGGAAGTACTTCATTTGGTTTCACTCATTTGGGGTGTGTGTGTGTGTGTGTGTGTGTGTGTGTGTATGTGAGAGAGAGAGAGAGAGAGAGAGAGAGAGAGAGAGAGAGAGAGAGAGAGAGAGAGAGAATATTGAGGGCTCAGTGAGTAAAGCTCATGACCTGGGTTTGATCCCATGTGGTGGAAGGAGCTCTGAGTTTTATAATCTCCCCATGGCATCAAATAAATAAATTTAATAAAAATTAGGGTGATCAAGACAGGACAGGTTTTTATTCACTCCAGCTTAGGCAAGCCTTAAACCTTCAATTCTTCTGCCTGTGCCCTTTGAGTATCTGGGATTACAGATACTTTGTGATACCTATATACATACATACATAATCTTGCTGGGTGGTGGTGGCACACGCCTTTAATCCCAGCACTCATGAGGTAGAGGCAGGTGGATCTCTGAGTCAAGCCTTGGAGTGGTATCTTGTTCTGCCAGTGGACTTGGAATGGCTATCTCCAAAGAGAGTTCCTGTACAGCCAGGACTACACAGAAAAACCCTGTCACCAAAAAACAAAACAAACAAAAAAAATTATACCTCAGTCAAACTAATGAATGATTTAGTACATGGAATGCCAGTAGTTTGTTGACATTATAAAAAAATACTGGATTCTAAAAAAAAAGGTTAAAGAGAAAGTACATGTTTTACATAATCAAATAGAGGGTTTTTTCTAATAAATGTTGGAAATGTTCAGATTTCCTTCAGTCTGTTATGGCAGGAAAAGCCTTTTGTTGTTACTGTCCTCAGAATGCCTTCTGAATGTCTCCATCACTTGACACACGGGATTTTCTCGAGGAATTACAGTGGGGGTATATAGATTATTTTGCTTTAGAAAATTAAAGTACCTGTTAAGGTACTTTCTTTCTCCCTCTGTGCTCCTTCCCCAACTTGGGCTCACAGATTGTGTTCTGTTGGGACATTGTCTCATGTAGCCTAGGCTGGCCTTAGACTTGCCCTGTGGCCAAGGATGAACTGAACTTCTGATCCTTGTTCCTCCACCTCCCAAGTTCTGGACAGATGTCTTGAATATGGCAGTGCCCTGTATCCCTTCTTAGGAGGAATCTGTATCTGGAGGGCAGGCTAGATTACAGAAGGAACAGTTCCCCTGCTGTCAGGGTGTGGCCATGTTATTTTGTCCTTTGCAGAGTTCTTGCTGTCTAAGAAAGAAGGTTTTTAGATTTTGAGTGAGCTGGTCTTTGGCAGTGAGAAAGGTGGGTCTGCTTCTCATGCCTGACTGGTCAGGATCATGACAGCCAGGAGAAAGGGGGCTCTCTTGCCATGGATTTCTGGAGTTCTTTGGGAGAGTGACAATCCATAGCCACAATGGCCAAGATGCTACTGACTCATCTGGTCCCCTTGATTGGGCTTTGTGACTGTTAAAGGGAAGGGACTTAGAATCAGTCAAAGGAAACCAGTGAGGAATGGAAAGCTGCTGAGGTCTATCAGGGATAGCAGGAGTAGAGGTGAGGCTAAGTAGATAAGGACTAATCAGAAGCCCGACAGCAGGTGGGCGTGGGCAGAGAGGAGGCCTTCAGTCAGTCAAGAGCTATTGGGGAAGTCACAGTCATTCCTCAGGTTCCAGGACCCACCTTTGACCTTATTTTGTTTTTTGTAGACAAAAGGAATTAAGAAAATGGCTCCATAAGTTGGCATTTGCATGTCTGTCTTGTCCCCAGATGTGGTCAGTTCTGAGTACAACTTTCATTTCAAAGATGGCATATCAGCCAGACTGAGCCATTCACTTGCCTGCCCAGAGTTAAGAACTATGATGTCTCAGGGGCACACCTGCTATACAGATGATGGCAAGATCAGTTGCAAGAAACACATCGAAATGGAAGACAGTATGTCCTGAAGGGCCAAGTCAATCTGTCACCAGCTGACCTAGGTAGGTAGAGAGGCTTTGTTCATTTAGTCAGCAGGTCACTTTGTGGTATCCATCTTTCAGACGTGGGATAGCTTAGAAGTGGGGAGGGCAGAGTATTTCTACCCTTGTGGTCCTTCTAGGGGAAGGTTTTGTGTTTCTATTCTGATGAGGATGGATACAAGTGGGAGAATTTTAAGATCTTGGGGTCAACCAGAGAGCCTGGTTAAAAACTGAATAATACTGTCACTCATTGGTCTGTGGATGGGGGTTGTGGTGCTGGAGGACCAGGACATGCAGTAGCCCTGGAGTAGGAGGGTGTAAGGAGCTGGTAGGAGATGAGTGGGACCTGCAGGCCCAGCTGTGGAGGACTGGGCCTTAGTTGAGGTGGCAGCTGTACCTCTGTTCCAGTCAGCCCTGACTTTGAGGGCTCTTTGTTCTCCCTTTCCCTGCCTGTCCATAGAGGAGACTGCCTCTCTATGTGCTTGTCAGAATTATATTGGAATATGGGTATAAAAGGGCTTGGCATAGAGCCGGGCCCCAAACCCTTTAAGTTTGCCACTATTCCTGACTCAGATTGCCACTGCTCTCAAGTGCATTGAGATGGAGCACCATTCACACTGTGATGCAGAACTTGCTGCGTCTTCTTCCCTGTGGACCGAATAAGCTGGACTATACAACAGAGTCACTTTATGATCTGAGGTTGCATGTACTAGACCCGTTTGCCCTTTTCTGTGTTACTAGGGAGAGAGCCCAGGGTCTCACATATCTTAGGCAAGCTCTGGACACAAGAGCTCGACCTACCCCCAAGAACTCCTATTCCCCGGGAAAACTCTGCTGCTGCAAGTTTGGGGAAGGGTTTGTGTGTGGTTCCCATGCTTTTCGAGGTGCTGTTGCTTGAGGACATTGGCCTGGCATCCAGGCCTTGGGATCTACACTGAAGTCTGTGACAGACAGAATCTGTCTTGTGTCAGGTAGAAAAGAACTACAAAGGATGGTCTGGGTGTCTCTGGGATGTTGTCTGTCTTGTTCTCATCTTTTGTCCTGGGGCCATCTTTAAATTTTAATGTGCAGAGAGGTGTCTTGCTTTTTTTCCAGCCCCTCATCCAACTTGTCAGCAGCAGGGTGGGTGGGCCCTTTGCACTTTTCCTCCAGTCCCTGCAGAGTGGATGAGAAGTGAAAAGAGGATTGCCTTTTGACCCACGGCTTTTATATGGTTCCTTTGTGTGAGGAGCATTCAAATGGGATCCTCCCATGAATTCAGTTTCCCCTTAAATAATTCAGAGAGCTGGCCCTTCTCAAATTCCCTGCTTTTCCTCCTTCCCTTTGTTAGCTTTCTCCTGGTGACACTGACACTGCCTGTGGAAGGAGACTGGACATTGTTCCCAGGTGCCTTAGTTACCTGCATCAGTTAGGAATAGCTCTTTGAGGTAGGGAGTGGCCTAATTACAGAGATGAGCTGTGCAATGGAGTAGCCACGACTGTGGGTGTGGAGTAGTGAAAAACCAAGTATAGAATTGGGCTGTAAATCAATCTCTGTATGCAAGTGGGCACAGTTCTTTGTTATTTTTAATAAAAAGTTGAAGACACTGTAATAAATACCAGTATGCAGAACTTATTTTCACCCTCTAGGTATTCTGAACACTGTAATTTATAGGCATTTAAACCTCTTGCTTAATTCTGTGTCTAGTAAAGTGGGAACTTGGAAAAATGAGAAAAGAGAAAATGTATTTTTTCCCCTCAGAACTGTTGATTGTGAGGGTTTTGCTATTTATTTATTTATTTTGAGACAGCACTATGTAGACCAGGCTGGCCTTGAACTCAGAGATTCACTTGGTGTCTGCTTCCTGATTTCTGGGACTAAAGGTGACAATTTCATGTAGCTCAAGTTGGCCTCAAGTTTGTTTGCTTGGGAGAGTATGACCTTGGGCTCCTGCCTGTTACTCCCTAGCAGGTATGTGACACCATGTCTGACCCAGAGCTCCGTGTGCTACACAAGCACTGTACAAATGGACTACAGTACCCTCTCCCTTTTGACTGATTTTTACATTGGGGTGGGGTTCCCTTCCTTTGGTGATCAGGCTGGCCTTGAACTCCAGATCCTCCTGTCTTTGCAGGGATTACAGCTGTGAGCCACTGTATCCAGTTCATACTGGAGCTGGTTCTCTTGGGCAGTAAGGACAGAGCCTGTGTGGATCATAAACTAGTTATGGAACACTGGTGACCCCTCCCTTGGGTGGACATAACTGAGGAATTGTGGTCTCTTTCCTGTTTCATCACCTGATGTGCTGCTCAGAGATGTTCAAGAAAAGATGACCTCAGGCTCCGTCTGATTACCACCATAAAAGCTATAAAAGACCACTGGGCAGGGCAGCTGGACAGTGTGGAGCCCTTCCCACACTTGGGAATTCTTTCTCACGTTTCTTTAATAAAACTGTCATTCATTCTGCTCAGTGTTTCAGTTTCCTCATTCTTGGACATGAGACAACAAGCATCTTAGCTTCCCGAGTTAAGCCCACCAAGAGAAAGGCTGCATCTCATGAAAACAGCCACATCAAGCTGAGGGATTCTACTTTTATGCCTTTATACACAAAGCCTGAAGTGTTAGTGCTCAGTTTATATTTGGATTAGTGAACCATTTGTGATGGCACAAAATAATATTTTCCTACACTTCTGCCATATTTGTGTTAGTTAAACCTCTGTTGTCATTCAGAAGAATGACAGAATTGTTGCTTTTAGGGAGACTGACTTGTTCAATTGCAATTCTGGGGGTATCTGATTTTGCACATAGGTAGGGTTCCACCATCCCATTATATCCATAGCCCTTGGAATATTCTCAAATAAAGTATTTGGATGGACAACTTTTTTAAAAGATTTATTTGTATGTATGTATGTATGTTGTGTGTGAGAGAGTGCCCAGGGAGGTCAGGTCAGACATTCCTGAGTCACCTGGTGTAGGTGCTGGGAACCCAACTCGAGTCCTCTGATAGAGCAATGCTTGTTCTTAACCACTGAGCCAGCTCTTCAGTTCCTGGATCAGAACCTTAGAGGAATTCTACACCTTTTTTTATTTGACTTACTAAAGGTTTCTGTCTGAGGAAGTCAAACCAGACAGACCAGAAATGACAGGCTAACCCCCTCCTCTATCACATCCAGGGTCTTACCAAACCGTGCCATAGTAGGTTCAGAGCCAGGCTAGGCTGTAAGAAAAGGCATGTGGTATGAATGAATTGGCATCTCATTCTAGTTTCAGTTTTCATTTTCCTGTTGGTGTTCAGCATCTTCTGTGATGATTGGCTACCTGTGTAATAGCTGGAATAATATTAAACCCTTATCAGATGTTAAGATTTTTATATATTTACCTTTACTCTTTGGCTTATCATTGTCATTTTCCTAATAGTGTGTTTTGAGGCACAAAAGAAAATAATTTAGTTTTATTTTCAATGCTAGGACTTAAGTCTAGAGCCTATCTGAATGGTGACTTCCACGGATTAATCTGAGCACTCAAGGCTGAGGCAGAATTGCTTCAGTTTCAAGACCAGAGTGAAAAAACTGGGCTATAGAGTAAGACCCAGTTTCAAAAAAAAGCAGCTAAGTGGGAGAAACCCTCATCTACTTTTATTGCCCTGTCAATGCTGACATGTTCGCTTTTTGCCTTAGGTCTGAGATGGCTAGTGGGTTTTGAAAGGGCCAGTCTGGCCTTGAACTCAAGATCCACCTGCCTCTGCCTCCCAAGTTCTGGGATTAAAAGTGTGTGCCACCACTGCTTGACATATTCTTAGCTGTTTTAAGGCATGGGTTTTATGAAGCCCAGACTTGCCTCAAGCTGGTAGCAGTCCTCCTGCTTCAGTTTCTCTCAGTGCTGGGATTGCAGGCCTGCTCTCTGTGATGGCTGATTTCAGATTGTTTTTAAAAGGTTCATCTGTTTGCCAAACCTGAAATACTCCATCAAGTGTTTTAAGTGTTGGGAGCATCTTGTGACTGATTCTGATGAACATGGCCAAGCCATATTATTCATGTTTCCTATTTACTGATTGTTTTGTTAAGTAGGGCTGAAAAATAACTCAGCATATTAACATTGTCTGCTTGTAAATGCTGTTCTCTAATAATTCGTGCAAGACAAGATTACTACATTTTTATGTGAGAGACAGTACAGTTTCTGGGTTAAACAAATAGAATGAAATTTGGAAAATGTAGATCTATTACCTGTGTCTGCCTGTATTTTCCAAATACTAAGTTCTTTAACCCTGAGCCACCTCTCTAGCCCTAAGTTTTACTTTTTTATTTATGTGTATGTGTCTGAGTGTGTTTGTAGAGGTAAGGAGAGCAAGTCACTCCCTGGAGCTGGAGTTACTAGCAATTGTAAAGCTGTTCCACATGGGTTGTGGGAACTGAACTCAGGTTCTCTGGAGAAGCAGTGGGTACCCTTACCCACTGAGCCATCCTCCAGATTCTGAAGTCCGTACATAAAAGAGTGTCATGGCAGCACACCCCTATAATCCCAGTACTTGGGAGGCAGAGGGTTCAAGTGAGACCATATCAGTGTGACACTTAGTAGGTGCTCACAAAGCGTTTGTTCTGCCAGTACCTTTCCAGCACAGGCCACCTCAGGACTGTTTCCATGGCAGCAGCTCTGTGCTGCTGGCCCCAGGCCTCTCTGGGCCTTGATGCTCTTGGCCACTGCTATATCCATCCCTGGCTCCCAGACGACCAGATGCTCAGGAAGGACTTGTTAAGTGTTGGGCACTGAAGGTGGACAGATGTGAGGTTCTGAGCATTCCCTGTTGCTGGAGTATGTTGATGCTCTCACTGTTAGTAAACCTTCAAGGCAAAGAACTCACATAACACAGTTGTAAATTCATCATGCCCACTGAAGTCAGATGCTTGCTGGCTATCTGAGCGACAGGTCTGTGGGCTGTTGACAAGTGAGGGAGAATCCAAAAGCCCCCAATTTATGACTCAAGATGGGTTCTAACCATGCTTTCAAATGTAGTAAACATAGAGTATATACAGTGTGTGAAGGCTGTGATGTTGCACACCACAAGTGAATGCAGTGTTGCTTTGTTTCAACCTTAACATAGAGTCTGTGAGGTAAAATAATCAATAAACATAAGGACACAGTCCACCCTGACTTGGAGTACAGGCTGCTGTGGGCGTTGTTTCTAGTTTTAATTAGAGGAACACTTAGGTTGATGTTTTCTGTAGGGAGACACTGTAGCCCCGCCTCCTAGTAGCCCAGACAGGTGTGCCGGGACATGCCCGTGAGGGCGTGGTGAGGAGAAGTCTAAGGTGACTCGGGAACGGTTCTTAAGGGACAGCGCACACGTGGAGACCCTCTTCTCCCTTCTCCCTTCTCTCTGGCCTGGCTGCCTTGCTGCCCCTGGCACGCTTTGGCTTGCCCTTGGCTGGTGTTATATGAATAAAGAAAACCTTAGCCATACGGACTGCTGATTGATCTCTTCAGTTTTCCATGTTCTATGTTTCCAGGCTTTGTCTTTGGGACTCCCACATGCTGCCTGTCATCCCTCTTGATTTTTAGTCAAGGTTCGCTGGGGTTCAGACTGGCCTGGAACTCATGACAGTCCTCCTGCCTTAGCTTCTAGACTGCTGTAATTACAGATGTACCTCACTATGCCCAGCCCAAAGTTTGTTTCAAGAGGCAGCTTTTGCTTAGATCTGGAGTTGTTACTTCTTTTAAGGAGAGTGAAGAGCCAAGCCTTTTATGAATTTGCAGCCCATGGGAGAGGCCTGCCTCTCATGGGAGCTACTCTCCCATGCTCTGCATTAATGAGCACAAGGTAGGAAAAGATCCACTCTATTGCAGCAAGGCCAGGGCCCATCCCAGGAGATACCTGCAGGGCTGCCGGATCCCCCACTGCGAGGGTCTGGCTTGGGCTACCATCTGAGGGAGTGGGAAGGAATCCAAAGTTGGTTTGGCATTTGATTTTGTTTTGCTGTTGATTTGGTGAGTCTGGCTTCTTTTCACTCTGGTTTAAAGTATTAGGAATCTTAAGATTTGTAGGAATTAGACTATTTGGATTTGTTCAAATTTCACTTGGCACTAGGGAAGATTAACTAGAGGTTAAAAACTACCTTAGGGGTTGGCTTTGGGCTCAAGCTAATTTGTTTCCTTAGTAATGACTTTATTACAGAAAACTTCAAAGCTACAATTAAGTGAACAGCATAGTGGATCTCCATGATGTGACTCGGGACTTAACCATGAAACAAAGTGGAAGGGCCAGCAGAGCCCCTCCCTGCCCCAGCATAAAGCAGAATGCAAGCCAGGGGTCTGCTAGTCTGTAACATGGACTTTTGAAGCTTTGAATGACTGGGCTTCATTCCTTTATATGACCTGCGGTCTCAGGTGCCATCTGTGGAAAGGGATGGCAGACAGTGGGTAAGCCTGCAGGGACATCAGACATATTGAGAGATTGGGTATAGATGCTTCAAGTGCAGTACCACTTCAGACAAATGTCCCCATACTGTCCCTGTGCCCTAGCTACCATGTTCAAAAGGAAGAGAGCTGGCTAGGTGAACAGGAAGCTTCTTGCCTATAGATTAGAGTCTGGAGTGAATGGATCGTGCAGGGCTTGAAGCTCTTGGTCTCAGTGAAATTTCTGCCACTCCCAGTCTTCATTTGGACCCTTGCAATTCTGAACTTCTGCAAGGGCCATGTCTTCCCAGGCTGTGGTAAACGTGGAGGGTGAAGGGGCCTGTGCCCTGAAGGCTCTGCTTTCTAGTACAGCACCTGTGTGCTGGCATGCCCTTGGCCTTTCCTCTGAGAAGCCGTTGCTAATTTCTGCTATGCTTAATTTACACCAGCCTTGGGCAGAGCCAAGTCTATACTTGCAAGGGAGAAGGCCTGAAGAAGCACCTGCTGGCCTGGCTCTCACTCTTGTGGTTTGTGTTCAAGATCATTGCCCAATAGCCACCAGTTAAACACTACAGGTCTAATTTTAGTGTTATTAGCCTTGTTAACTTATTAGTGCTGATTAAAACAGTAAAGCAGATGGCACGGTCAGAGCTGATGCATCAGGTATGCATTGCATGTTGAAGAACACTCTTCATTGAGTTGTGCCGCTTGCCAGCTCACTGTTGATGGGAGCTGTGTCACCAGACATGGACCATTCTGGAGTTTTGATTAGGTTTTAACACATTGCCATTCTTATTCTGTTGGAACAATATTTTTAAACCATTAAGTCGACTTTAAGAGTGGTAAAGGGAAATGACACTAATTTACTCATACCTGTTTCTGTCACCGTGTTAGTTTCCTTATTTTCTTCTATGAACACAGGTATTTGAGGAGGCTGAGGTGAAGAACAGCAATAATTGAGTAGGTACTAGACTTCTATAGAATACTCTTAAAGCCTTGCTCTCTTTTCTCTCTTTTTCTTTCCTTCTTTTTATTTTGAAATGGTCTTATATAGTCAAGATTTGAGCTCTGGATCTCCAG